AGAAAACTCAGAATTAGAGGCACTGTACTTTTAAACAAGACTAATGTACTTGAAAATCTCAATGAAATATAAATTTTCTGCGGAATTTTTTTCCTGACAAAACTGACTTAAACAGAAGTAAAAAATGAGAAAATAAATAATTTCCAAAGAATACTCTAGGCCCAGATGTTTTATGAGTATATTGTTTCAGAATTTCAAGGAATAAGTAATTTTCATGTTACCTATGCAACATTTTACATAGCCTGTAAAAGGAGGAAAAGCTTTCCAATTCAACTATGAATCCTGGTACTAAAAATTAGCAGACAGTATAAATAAAGAAAAACACAAACACATCTCATTTATGATTACAGATGAAAAAGTAACAACTGTCATATAAGCAAATAAAATTATGCAGTATATTAAAACAAGACTACACTATGACTAATCAGGGTTTATTTCATCAATAAATTTGAAAAACAAAAACCAATAAGATATGCCATAAAATGCAATTTCTTGTGGAAACTCTTATTAAACTATGACTAGAACTTTTTAATAATAAGACTATCTTAAATCAATGGTCAACATAATACTTAATGGTGAATTATTAAAAACAATTCCTTCATTTAAAAACTACACAAAATACCTGCTATCACCTGCATTACTTAATATTATTCTTGACATTCTAGCCAGTGTAATAAGAGAAGGGGTGAAAAAAGGGGGAAACATAACATAAAACATCAGCTAAAATATTATTAGAGCTAATAAGTTTGATAAAAAAAGGAAATTATAAAATGAAACAGCAAAATTCACTAAATTCTTAAACATAGTAGCAAAAAGAAAAGCGACTGAAGACTGTCTCACTCAGAAAAGCAAGCAAAAAGTTAACTATTATAAAAAAACATCAGCCCTAGCCGGTGATCTCAGTGGTTAGAGCGTTGGCCTGCAGGCTGAAGGGTTCCGAGTTAGAATCTGGCCAGGGCCACGTAGCTCAGTCCAGGCTGGGCAGAGCATGTGTGGGAGGCAACCAATCAATGTATCTCTCTGACATCTCTCTCTCCTTTCCTCCCTCCCCACCCTCTCTTTTTCTCCCTCCCCTTCCACTCTCTCTGAAAAAGCAATGGAAAAAATATCCTTAGTTGAGGATTAAAAAAAAAGAAAGGAAACTTCAAAGGAAATGTACAGAATCTGTATTTTAAACACAAAATATTCTTGAGAAACATAAAAGGAACTGAATAAATGATTTTGAATGGAAAGATTCAATACTATAAAGATGTCAGTTTACCTCATAGTTTTATATAAAGATAATATAATCTTTTAAGATACCACTTTGGAATTTCAATTCACAATCTAGAATGATACGTCTAAAATAAATTTTAAAGAAATATTCAAACACCTTGGAGAAAAATTATGAATGTAGTCTTGCAATACTTACTTTTCAAAGATACTTAAAGCTAGAGTGATTAACACAGCAGAGCACTAACAAAAGTTTAGGTAGAAAGACTAATGGGAATAGAATCAAAAACTGAGAAATGGTTCCAAATATGCAATCAGTATGCAATAAAAGATGTTATTTCAAGTCAGAAGTGATAAGATATTTAATCAGTGATACAGAAATATTTGGTTCACTGCCTAAGAAAAAAATGAAGTTATACCTTTGGATGAAATAACGTATCAAAATATATTCAAGAGGAATTAAAGAGTTAAATGTATAGAAATAAAAAGAGTTGGAAGAAAATATACAGAATATTATCTAATCTCAGAGTGGGGGAAGGCATTCTAAACAAACCTCCAACAGGGGGGAAAAAAAAAAAAAAAGCTTGAAAAGAGGGAAAGATTTGACAACAAAACCATAAAGAAAAATTGTAAAATGTAACATATATGACAGATAAAGATTAATACCATTAAAATATACAGGGTGGGACAAAAGTAGGTTTACAGCTGTGAGCACATGAAACAGTTTATTCTTTTTTTTCTTTCAGAGTTTATTCTTGTATTATTATTTATTACTTGTATTATTTTCCATACAAACAGCTGTAAACCTACTTTTGCCCCACCCTGTACATTAAGAATCTTACAACACCATAAGAACTAGACAAACCCTTCCTTTAAAGGAAAAACGAGCACACAACATAAGTAGGCAATCCACAAAGGAAGAGATATTTAATATAAATACACTTACGTAAAACTCCTCATTCTCAATAATAAAGAAATACAAAATAATTTAGCAATAATATGTTATTTTCCCCTATCAAACTGGCAAGAAACTTTTAAGTTAATAGTTTTCATCGAGGGCAAGGAAATAACACTTGCAGACACTGCTGGTGAGAGCACAGGACACTATATGCCCTTTCTGAAGGGCAGCGCGGCAATATGTATCAAAAGTCTTTTAAGAAAGTACAACTCTTGGACCCAGGAACTTCACTTTTTAGTAACATAGTCTAAGAAAATAGCCACTAGTTAGTACTGAAAAGCATTAAAAAGTTATCCATGTTCAAAGTTTTCTTTAAAATGACAAACAATAGAAACAACTGAAATACTGAAAAAAAGACTCAGGTAAATTATGAGAAGCTCACTTTATGCAATATTTCCTGCACACAAAAAAAGACATAATCACAGGAAAATTCACAATATATCTTTACAGTGGGAAAGGCAGACTATGAAAGAATAGTAAAATGATGTTTTTAAATTTAAGAAAAAAGTTAAATTAAAATGGAAAGGATATACAATATAATACAGGTAGAATTAAAAGACAATTTTAATTTCTTTTGTGTGTGTTTCTATACTTTTTACAATAAATATGTATGAATTTTATAATAAGGGGAAAATGGTGAGTTGAGATATAATATTAAATACTGATAACCCACAGTAGTATGTATTTCTTGGAGAGAATATTTAGATCACTTTGACATTTCAGGATAATTATAACTAATTTAGGTGGATCACAACTGGCCTGATCTCACAGAGACTAAAACTGTATGTTGAATTTTAGCAGTTGTAGACTCACTCTATGAACACGACTTTAATTTTTTCATTTTTATTATGTTATTGTTATATTTTCTGTATAACTTTATGGTGACCAAATATTAGGATGTAAGAAGAGACCATTAGGTAGAATAAGTCAAAATGAAAAATTGAACAAGAATCTTATCTTCTGCACCCATAAAACTGCGAGGAGCACACAAGTGACAGTTCACTTACCTCATGCAGAATCCGTAGGAAAAAAAAGTTAAAGAATTTGAAAAGCTGAATTTTCCAAATGTGTTTCACTTTCAAGATTTATGCATTTGGAATATCTGAGACTAGCACAACTTTTACATTTTAAATTCATAATTAGAATTAAAAATAAAGTAAGATGGAAGGTAGGGGCAGGGGAGAGAAGATAACCCGAAGCTTATCAACCTGATGCTTAATCATAACATCATAAAACGTTAGCTTCCACGTTACTAAGAGAAAGCAAGACCCCGATCACTCATGCTGGCAGAAGCTTGACTTTGCATAAACCATTTCTGTTCTCACTGTTATAAAACCAATGACTTTGGGAAGGGAAGAAAACACAGAATGACGTGCAGAGTAGCACACACCATGTTACTGTAGCTGGGAAAAGAATAGGTCACTAATGACTTTCTTCCTACCTATCAGTTATACGCTGAGTTTCCTTTTTCTTTTTTTCCAAGTTAACAAGTGCCTCATAAGCACAAAACAAAAGTAGTGAAATTCAAAATACTATCAAATTTCTACTTAATTTTAATACTGCATTAGATAACGGAATGAGTTATTAATTATTCCTTGGGAAAGAGATGATTTCCTTTTCTTTTCACTTGAGTTGAACATAACATATCTGTACCCTAGGCAATTTTCTGTACTAAATTCAAAATAACATTTTCATCAGATAGTTATTGCCAAATGTTCTTCTTAAATGAGATATTTATTATCCATGACCGATAGGAAGATTCACCTGAAGCTTTTTGATAAATTCACAAAACTAATCTAATTAACTTCCCAAATTGTTAGTGCAAGTGAGAGTGATGATTGTCTATAGGGAACAACTGATAGAATTAATTAGTGACCTATGGTTCTATTCATAATACCAAAAACTAATAATACATACTTCATTTCCATAGAGGAATCAACAAGAGAGAGTTATGGAAGAAGTATAACTTCTTGACTAATAGGGTAACTTAATTCTGCAATGCATTGGGATAGTCCACTTCTTAACATGTATCAGAATAATAACATCAATCACATAACTTCAAAAATTAAGATGCTCATCCTCATCAGGGTAAGAGGTCATGAAATTTTAAATCCTGTAAAATTTGTTTAAGATCAATCAACCTATCAACCTACGGGCATGTTAATAATAACAACGACTAAAACTTACTCTCATGAGTGCTTTCTTAAGTGCCAGGTGCTATGCTAAAAGCTTTACATGTATTAATTTTCTTAATGAGCCTATGAGGTAGGTACTTTTACTCTCCCCATTTTAGATACTAGGAATTCAAAACATAGAGAAGACAGTGACTTGCCCAAAGTCAATCATCTAGTAAATGACAGAGCCAGGATGTGAACAGGTCAACAGGCCTCAGAATCCACCCATAAACCACGACGTACAACATATTCTATAATCTCTTTTTACAGTTGACCCTTTTTGATCAGAAAAATAATATAATTATTTGGATTCATAAATTAAGCTATTATTTTGACTTAAATAGGAAAGATTAAAATTATCTTTAATTTGTTCATCTTTGGTATAACATTTTTTCATTTTCATACTTTTTTGTTAAGTAAATTAATAAAGCAGTTTATCCTATATAATTTATATGTTATAGACTAATAAAAAGAGAGGGCAAAAATTTCATTCTGTAAACATTATAAAGAATAAAAGTTCAGGGGCATAATATATATTTACCCTCTCATACATAAACAAATATCAGAGGTAAGAAACTAATGTTAGGGTAAGCAAATATGTTGTTATACAAAATAACATCTCCACATTGATCTGTTTGATATTTTGTATATTGTACCTTTAATTTCTCCAAGAAGTTCACTGGTATTTAGTCTTTCCATTTTTTCCTTCCAATCTTTTGAAAGTAGTTTTTCCATGCAGGAGGAATCTATTAAAATAAGAGAGTAAGTATTAATAACATTACATATATAATTTATAATTATTAAAATAGAAGTCCAGAAAGCCAGTTTACAGTGAAATTCTATCATTTAAAAATGAGCAAAGCTATTTTTGTGCTGTGGTTTTAACCTTAGAATATAGACAATTATATTACTGTATTATAAAATACCACAAGTTTATTTTTACCAGATTATTTAAACTATTCTCAAGAAAAAAAGATAATGCTCAATAAACTTATCTTGGTATTATAATTATAATTCTATTAATATTCAATCAATATTCATCATTTCTTAGACTGATAGGACAGAAAAAGGGACTCTTTCCTACAGGTTTAAAGTTAGATAATATTCCTTTTAATCCAGGTGATTATTTTTTAATTCCAAGCAAAATTTGTGTGCTGTTCAAAGAAGAATGAAAATTCTTTAAGGGAGAATACACCAATCAACCTGTAGCCACTTGTACTTAAAAAAAATAAAATAAACATAAAGCAATTTTCATAAAATACCCATTTATAACAAAATGCAAAGAAAATAAAGTCAAGATAATGAAAACTGCTAATACATTTCTCTTGTATAAAAAGAGATGCATATTCTTTTCAAGAAAATACTTATTGACACATTTTTTTGCCCTACATTTCTAAGTAGCATACTAGATTATAGGGAGTGATTGCACTTGTTTCTATAAAGATTCAAAGAGGTTACAGAAATGTAAACTTTAGAATATTCTAATAATTAGCACATTTTTCTCAATGAGTTCTTTTTCTTCTCTATTCAGATGGATATGCAACTGAAGCTACTGCTTACAACTATTTACATGTATCTTTTGAGCCTCAAATCGTAACAAATAGGCCACATTTTCAAAAGAGAACGCAGACTTAAGTACTAAATCCTTAGTGTGAAGCATACTCCCATTAAACTTTAACATTCCAAATGTCAAAATTCTGGTAACTTCTCTGTAAATTGTATTTAAACTGTCACTCCTCGCCCAAGCGCCCTCTTCTCCCTATCAGCCCCTCTCTCCAGCATTTTTCCTTTCCCTTTTTGCCTCCAACTTCTAAATCCTCCTTGAATTTTTCCGAATGACAGTGAGGTCAAGACAGATCTAAAGGGTTTTAGAAACTAGATAAGCTTTAGAAAAAGACAGTGAGCCCTGGGTAAGAGATGAGCAGACCACTGCGTGATTACAAAGTATTGGTGAAAACAATTAACGTTTGTCCATGACATGATCAATCAATCAAGAAATGGATGGAATCCAGATCCGAGCGCCCTGAAACGGCTGGCGCACAACCGTACTAGCTCACTGTCAAGGAGCTGAAGTTCTTTCTAAACAGGAGCCAGCTTGACTGTTGGGAGAGAGCTCCCTGCCGTTCCCTTGCCTCTTCCCTTCTTCACTTCCCTCCGTCTGGCCTGCCATTCCTTCCTATTAACATTTTCTTAGGCTTCAACAAGTGACCTACCACTGCGATTAAAACTGGATTCCGAGTGACCTTTTGGCAAGGCCAACATGCATACGCATATGTTCAGTCTGTATTCAATTTCCAAAATGGTCTCTTGCTGCATTTATTTTAAATTCCGAAACAAGGTGTGCACTATGTTTTATACATATTTTGCATTTATGCTGAAGTTCATATAAAAGATAATACTGAGTTTTGAAAGTTATGAAGCCTATCTTCAAAGCCATGCCTATCCGAGGTTACCTTTTGAAAACAGGGCTTAAATTTCTGAGAGACATTGAGATAACATCAGATCATGGATAAGAACCACCAACACGACACCTTCCCAGTTTTGTTACATTTTTTTTACCCTTTCATACACGTTATAACATCGCACTAAGCTGCTAATCACTGATATAAATGCTAACTCATAATTTATTTGGTTAAAATGTGAGTTGAGAGCATATGTTTTAATGGTAAAAGACAAAAGCCCAACTTACTAGTAATGATCACAAACTCACAGCAAGTTCATAAACTAGGGTTAGAAACACAATAAATGTGAAACAGGCTAAAATACATCTCTCGTTTCTATAAATAGACTTGAAATCTTTCAGAGCTCAGGAAAAAATGTTTAAACTCCATGGGAGAAAAACAGAACTATATGGACAACAGGAACACACACTTCAAACATAAATCAAATCATGTGGACACAGCTTTACATAAAAGCTACTCATTAATAAAATGGTTAATAACTTCAAAGCTTTTCACATTCCTATTAGAAAATTAATCCTCGCTGTAATGCTAAATTAATCTAGCTATATGAGTTAGGGGGGAAAATAAAGCAGCCTTTGCATGTCTTATTATAGCTCATGAAAATATTTAATAACAATCGCTGACTGCCTTTATCTATAGGGCAATACAACTTGCTACATACAACCTTATCAACATGAAATCTCAATGCCTAGAGATTCCAGAGAGATTCAAAACACAGGAAGTCTCTTGAAAAACTTTCAGCTTTGCACCTAATTATCTGACCGCCGAACCTCCAAGGGCACACCACAGTTAGCGCGCAGCTCGCTCCATACTGTAATGGACAGCAAGTGCGGAGAGAGGAAAAGGACCGAAACATGCAGACTGTCAACAAATACAGCGCTGGTGGAGGGCTGGCACCGAGAGGTTTCCGACTTGAAACAAGGAAATATGTAATAAACTTATAAATAAAAATGGATATGTTAAGATTTCCCACTCAAAACAATATCCGTGTAATGATGGAAATGAAAAGTAAAGTATTCATCCTCCTGTGCCACATGCTTCAACCACAATAATAGGGCTCTAGCTTTACAGGGGCAATTGATGAGACCAGGCTTTTCCCCAAGCACAGGCGCAAAGGCCGAAGAGGTGAAAGGAAGGAAAGAACTCCAGTCTGCATCATGTACATGGAAGGAGTAGGGCCCTGGAGAGCGGCTGCAAGCCAGCAGTCAGGCAGGACTCCAAAGGGCGAAAACAGGGCTGAACATCACCCAGATATTCTTGGACTATTTTACTCAGATAAATGTGTTTTACATGATTGACCTGAAAACAACTAATACAGTTATGGTGGTGCCATAGTCCTCAAAACAATGAAACGACATACAGCATATTTCATTAGTTGACTCTGACTATTCAAATTTTAGTATTTTGACTGAGTTGTCTTCAGCCAAAAAATGGGAGAGGAGTTACATATCTTTTGGAAATTGAGATAAAGAACTACAACATTACAGTATTTTAAAAGTCACCATAATATGTACATATTAAGCATGAATGTAAGCCATACACCTCAGTATAAAAGTGGAAAATACCAAAATTAATTCCTCTTACTTTGAGAGAATTAGCCTCCAAAAGCCAATACATAGTCAATAAAATACAGAATTTTATATATTTGTCTTGCCTCACCTTTTGTAAATAATGTGATTTAAAAAGGACTATTAAAAATCAAGAGCTGGACCTCAGTTCTCACTTACATTTGAATCAAAGAGCTAAAAGGTTTTGATACATTATAAATGAATTCTCAGTTGCATAGCTTATTTTTTCTTTTTCTTTGCAAATTTAAGTTTTTCAAGAAACTTTTTCTAGGGAACAAGGAAAGACAATTCAGAACTAATATTTAACAAATATCCTGCATAATGGATCACAAAGCAATGTTTCTGCTTCCTAAGCACCTAGGTTTCAGTCTAGGTAAGTCAAGAGTGCTTTATCATGCTAAGAATTTCATGGTACAAGAGAAATGCAAAGTGAGCGAGATATTTATTTCCTAATCTATATGATAACATTTTTAGGAACAATTCTAAATTATTTCTAGTTAAACAAAGTTGTAGCAGTCTTAACACTTATTCTGTACAAAATAAAGATATTTAAAATGGGTCAAATAGAATAAATTTTAAAAATCACTAAAACTAAACCATGGGGGAATAGAAAAAAATAAATGGAAAAAGTATTGTACTTTAAAACAATTTACCTGTGAGTAAACACTCATCATTCCTTTTACCTCAAAGTGATATTTAAATTTAGAAAGGCTAAAACATTAGAAACATGATATAGAAAATATCTTTAAAATATTTTAGTAAGAAAATAACAGCTGCTGCCCCTGTATGCAAATTTCCTGCTGCTTTATTAACTCTTTTAAGAAAATGTTGAAACACTTCATTTTATTTTTACCGTAGGATTCATATATTTCAAATGCAATAAATTGTCTCTGTATCCAAGAACAATAACTTGTCAAAAGTACCCTTGACCTTGCTTTCCAAGTAACTCTGACAATATATATTTATATCCCTGCTGATCATCCACCCTACATTTCTCATTAGGAAACAGAGATGCACATGCCAGTTACTGTACATTTTTCCACAGTGATAAGTGCTTCAGAATACAGTGGGATAAAATTGGAGCTTGGAGAGCTTGAAGAGCACTCTTAAATTTTAATTAAAACCCTCCAAGCTCACTAAAAATAATTAGACACTAAAATGTGCCAGTTTTATTTTGAAGTCACGATAACATACAAAGCACACTCCCTGACAACTGCTTGTGCTCTCCTCTCTTTCTCCCCCTCTCCAATGAAACAACTGATTTTCCAAATACGAACAAGGGGGTATAAATAGAGGCTGTTTTCAGGCCTGCCCTTCATGCTGGGAAGCTGACAGAAGAGACAGCAGAGTGGGTTTTTCAGACTGCACCAAATGAAACTAGAATAACTTGCCTACCCAAGAGTTCGAATCACTGACAAACTCTAGATGAAATTCAGTCTGCAAGGAACAACGAGAGTTGTATCGCTTTTTTTTGATCCAAAAGCCAAACCTTTAACCTCTTAAATGTTTTTGCTATCTTAAAATATCTCATACAATGCTATATTCCATCCTATTTTTAGCCAAGCAGCAAGAGAAAGCATGCCTTTCCCATACAGCAGGGAATGATATAAACATCAACACAGATGCTCTGCCAGGAAGAGCTGGACTTCTCAAGCACTTGATCATTAAGGAATGCACCAACTGTTTTGGATAATCTCGTGCCAGCTCCCCTTTTGC